TGATTTGGTTCAGAAGTTGGTCACGTGATAAACTTGAAATTTAAGGGGTTGTTTGGGGTGTCCTAAATAAGTGTACTTTTTGTCTTTTTAGACTAAAAAGTTGAGGGAAAAATATGGATGTTTGGGTTAACTTTTTGACTTTTTATGAAAAAATGTGTAATAAAAAATTATAAAAATTGGTTTGTAGAGGAAAATTAGGATTGGGAGTTGTGCAACCGTAATTGTTGACTTTTGGTGAATAGTGTTTACTTTTTAACTTTTTGAGTAATTTTTTGACTTTTTTGACTTTTTTTTAAGTATCCCAAATTTGGCCTAAATCTAATATTGAAATACAAAGATTTTGTAAAGTTAGCTTTAATTATTTAAAAATCACTAAATTCATTTGGGAAGTTGACTATTTTAGTAGGCTATTTTAGTAGGTTAAATTTTTTATGTTTAGAAAGATGATTGGATTTTTTTGTAATTGGATGTGATGTTTGTGAGAAAAAAAGTTAAATGATTATAAGTTTAATGTGACATTTTATCTTATTAATTATTTTAATTTATTTTATTTTTTTATGAATTTTAGCTTAAAAAATCAAATTTTAACTTTTGTCAAACAAGACCAATGTAAAAAACTTGTGTCTACTATATCTTAATATCTCACGCTTTTGTAAGTGGGGATAGTGAACCTAAAAAAAAAAAAATACAAGAAAAATATTTGAAATTTTGATCTAATAACTTTCAAAATAGTGATGTACTAGCGAGCTTGAATAAATTGAACTCGCAACTGTCCAAATTAGTCAAAATCATCCATTCCTTAACAACACTAGTATGGTAATTAAAATCACTGATATCTCACATTTTATTTGCATTTACAATTGTCGAACAAAATGTTTTACAATAGTTATTTCAATGATTTTTTTGGGAGTGTCTACTTCCTCATCCCTTAATTATTATCATAAGCTGTGATTGATTGGAACCAAACAACACAAGACTGAGTTGGATTGATTATCAATTATGAGAACTTCAGTGCGCGGAATTGACTTGGAAGCAAAGAAGTGCAGTGAGGATCCAAATTCAAAACGTAAAAATCATCCAACTTAAGTTGACACTTGACGGTAATATTGCTTGAATCATTCATTGTGTTTGGTTTGAGTTTTCTGAATTAAGTTTTTTAAAAATTGATATTTTTAGTTTTTGTATTTTTTTGTTTTTAGTGAATATTTTTTAAATTTTAAATATTTTTTTTTTACTTTTTTAGATACACCTTACTTAAATGTATTTAAAAAGTAAAAAAATTGTGAAAAAAATATTTTAAAAAATTAATAAATACATAAAAATACAAAAAAAAAAGTACTGAATTCTTGTATTTTTTTATATTTTTGGTATTTAGTGAATTTTTAAAAGATTTTTTTACTTTTTAGGTGTATTTATGCTATGTGTGTTTAAAAAGTAAAAAAATTGTTTAAAATATTAAAAAAATTCAGTAAAAACAAAAAAACACGAAAAATAAAAAAGTAAAATTTTCTAAAAAGTATTTTTTGAAAAATGAAAACAAGCAAGGTTTTTTTTTTTTTTCACCAGGTGGTGTTTCACCAATTGCCATACATCATACTTTCTGTTATTTTTAAATCACTCAATATAAAATCATGAATCTCATTTCTTTTATCAATCACTACATATTTGAAATATCACGTGACCGTGTCAAGGGTATCAAATAAATTCTCCTCCTTTCGACAGTAAGTTGTAAATTTATACTATCTTCTTATTATAATATGCTGCTGATATCGACCAAACATGGCGGCGACGCGGCGTAAACCGGGGGATGAAGAGAAATGGCCTGCAAAACCACTTTCCATGATAGCTAGTAGTAAAAGATAAATGATATTTTATTAAATTTGTTTCATTTATTTCAATCACTTCTTACTTATATTAATATAATAAGATTATGTTTATGATATTTTATTAAATTTGTTTAATTTATTTCGACTTCTTACTTATATTAATATAATAAGATTATGTTTATGATATTTTATTAAATTTGTTTAATTTATTTCGACTTCTTACTTATATTAATATAATAAGATTATGTTTATGATATTTTATTAAATTTGTTTAATTTATTTCGACTTCTTACTTATATTAATATAATAAGATTGTGTTTATTCATTAAAAATGTTCTAATGCAACAACTTTGGATAAGTGTGATAGAGGAAATCAATTTAAATCCTACCATGTAAAAGCGACATAAATATTTCTTTATGTGATTAATAATTGTAAACACCAATTTCATTTACATTTCTTTCTTTTAAGAAAACAAGTTAAAGGGACCACTCTAATCCAAATCAATCACACACACACAAACTAGTCACTGAATTGTAAAACCATGGTCCAAACCAACAAAAACTAGTATCAAGTTTTCCATTAATGAACACCAAACAATGCTTATAAATAAACTCTCAACAACAACATCACATGCAATTCAAACCAAACATCATTAAACATTTCAAAAAAGAAAAAAAAATGGTTTTAAGATTAGTTTCACTTATTCCATCATCTTCTCCGGCGATCAAATGGCTGGGATTCGTGACGGCGATATGGGTTCAGGCAGTCGCCGGCAACAATTACACATTTTCCAACTACTCCGATGCTCTGAAATCGCTAATGGTTCTGAGCCAACTCCAGCTCAACAATCTCTCAGTGGCTAAAGATGTGGGCAAGGCATTTGGGATACTATCTGGGTTAGCTTCAGATCGTTTTCCAACTTCAGTGATAATTTCACAAATATAATTGGATAGGGTGGCGGTTTGGAAAATAGGAAGTTTTTGGGTTGCGGGTTTGAACCACATCCATCGCAACCCGTTCGCACTTAGAATATATATATATTTTTTTTAATAAAAAATCTGGACTATTCATCTGGGATCTATCCTAGATATTTTTGTTTTGACCAAACAAACAAAACCCTAATCCTAATCTAATTTGCGCAGCTTTCTTCTTCTCTCTTTCTTTCTTTCTTTCTTTCATTTCTCATCTCTCTCGTTGTTTCATCTCTCTCTCTCTCTCTCTCTCGATCTCTCTCGATGTCTGTTTTTTTTAGGCAATCAGATTTGTCTCTGTGTGTGTAGCCTCTCTTCTTATCTCACACTCTCTCATTCTTCCATTTCTTTATCTATCTATCTATCTATCTATCTATCTATTTCCCTCTCTCTATGGCAACCAGCGAAGCAACCGATCGACCTTCGCAAAATCGACCCTTTATCTCTTTGGCAACTCTTACGTAAGCGTTTCTCTGTCTCTCTATCTCTCTCTCTCTCTCCGATCTTTGATGTTGTTTTTTAGGGAAACAGATCTATCTGTCTGTCTATCTGTCTTTTTTTTTTTTTCTCTCTCTCTCTCTCTCTCTCTACGGTTTCTGAATTATTTTTTTGTTATGCAATCAGATCTGTAGCAAGTTAGCAGCAGATCTTGAGTTTATTTGTTTATTTATTTTTTAAACTAGCTATTTTATTTCTTCATATAGTTGAATCTGTTTAGATTCTATTTAATTGAATTGGAAATTGAATCTGTTTAGATTTTTTTAATTTTTTGTGGGGAGTTTTCTATCATTGAATTTTATTTAGAGGGTGATGTGGTGAGTGAAATTGGTCGTGGAATTTGTTTTTTCTTTTTGTTATGCAATCAGTTCTGTAGCAACAGATCTTGAGTTTATTTGTTTATTTATTTTTACAACTAGCTATTTTATTTCTTCATATAGTTGAATATGCTATTGAATCTGTTTAGATTCTATTATTGAATTTTAATTGAATTTTAGAAGTGGAAATTGAATCAGTTATTGAATACGAATTGAATCTATTTAGATTCAGTTTAATTGAATCTGTTTAGATTTAATTTTTTTTTTTTTGGAGTTTTCTATTATTAAATTTTCATTGCTTTATTCTTTTACACTTTTTTTGTCAAAAGGAATTATGAAAATTGAAGATTATGAAGATTAAAGATTAAAGTTTATATTTTTTTAGTTTGTTTTTGTGCGGGGTTCATCAACCAAATGCATGGAATTAGAATTTTTGAAAGTTGGATGTGATTCATGTAGTTTGAGATCTTGCAAATGTTTTTATTTTATTTTATGGATTTGAATTGAATAAAGTTTGACAACAAATTTTTTTTTTTGAATGAATGTAAAAATTAATGAAGAATTACTTTTATTTTTTTTTAAATTTTCTTATTGCATTTTATTTTGGATGAATGTAAAAATTAATGAATAATTACTTTTAGATAAGCTTAGGATTTTGAATGATTTTATTTTAATTGTATTGTTGGGTAGTAAGTATCTAGTAAATGAGATTGATGATCTAGTTTAGGATTTTGAAAGATGTGTTTGTGTTAATTTATGATTTGGTTTAGGATTTTGAATGATTTGTTTATGTTATAAATTGATTTTGTTGTGTTTTTAATTCTACAAGTTTTAATTCATTAATTATTAATATTGGAGCATTTTAGAATAAATATAGAAAAGGGTCCAAAATTAGAATAAATTTAGAAAAAATTGTCCAAAATAAATATTTACAAAATGGGAAAAAAAATGTTCAAAAATAAATTTTTAAAGAAAAAAGTCCAATCTGCAAACCACCTGCACATCCACGAACTCTATCCACACAAACCGCAAGTTGCACTGCGAGCGGTTACAGATTGACTTTTTTCCAAATCACATAGATGTAGACGGGTCTAAACCGACACACAAACCGCTCAAATCCGAACCGCGACCACCGAGTGTTTGTAAAGAGAACAAAAAACAAAAGGGAGAGAGCAAATCAAACTGGGCTCACAACCTCTCAGGCCCACGGAGACAGGACCTCTTTAAACTTAAAATTGAGAACCCAATTGGGCCGAGCCATTTTACAGATTCGCCAGCAATCAAACAGCCCACAAGAAATACAATCAGAGTTCCAATTATACCCTTGATATTGCATCAATTTTCATTTCCCTCACCTTCCTTTCCTCTCCAGAAAATCGTTTTTTGGCGCCAATTCCAGTTTCGCTCTCGCTTTCCCTTGTTCGATTTTCTTTTCTCCTTTTTTGCGTTTTCTTATGTGTCGAGTACATTCAGTAACATCATGGAACCTCCCGTAGGCAAAACGAACCTCCTGAGCAACATTCTGGTACGAGTGCTCTCATTCGGCGTCCTCGTGTTCCTCGCTCGATTCGCCTACGTTGTCACCACCCGAGGCAACTCTTGCGATTCCGGCGACTTCTGCTTCTTCTCCTCCTCCTCCTCCCTCCGCCTCCGTACCAGCACCGTACACGGCGGAGGACGAGGAGGAGACTCACGTCTACGAAATTTCTACTCGTCGGTATTCCAAGATTTGATTGCCGAGGGCTATGTCTCTCCCCACTCGAAATCTCTCTGCATCGAAACCCTAACCGGCCAAGACGTCGTCGCTTTGAAGGAGATTGGAATCGCCGATTCCCTCGGAATTTCCCCCAAAACATTGCCGCCGCTGGTCATCTCCGGTCGCGCCGTTCGCCAGCCGTTCGATAACAACACATTCGACTTCGAGTTCTCCGGCGATGCCGGTCTGGACCGGTCTCCTCAACCGGCCCAATTCGCTTCCGAAGTTTCGAGAACGCTCAAACCGGGAGGCTTCTTTGTCGTCCACACCGCTTCGAAAGACGTGTACAGTCTCAATTCTCTGCTCGATTTGTTCAATTCTTGTCGATTGATTCGATCTCGCGACATCGACGGTCTCGATTCTTCGATCCGCGAGGTTGTTCTGATGAAAGAGAAACAAATTCTTGGCCATGGCGAGAGAAATCAATCTCTGTATCGCAATTCGGGTAACAAATGCTCTGTTCCTGGGTATAAACGTGAATTGATTCAAAATGCAGAGCCATTGATTCTAGAAGAGCCATTAAAGCCTTGGATTACATTGAAAAGGAACATAAAGAACATTAGGTATTTACCTTCTATGGTGGATATTAGTTTCAAGCATAGACAGGTGTATATTGATGTTGGAGCTAGGAGTTATGGTTCAAGTATTGGAAGTTGGTTTAGAAAACAGTACCCAAAACAGAACAAGACCTTTGAAATCTATGCAATTGAGGCCGATAAGGCATTTCACGAAGAGTTTCGAACCAAGAAAAGGATCACTCTGTTGCCCTATGCAGCATGGGTGAGGAATGAGACATTGTTCTTTGAAATTAGTCGGGAACCGAGCAAGAAACACGAGGAGAAAGGAAGAGGGATGGGTAGGATTCAAGCTGTGCAATCATCGAGTAACTTTGTGGGTGATTTGGATAAGATTCAAGGGTTTGATTTTGCTAATTGGTTGAAAAACACAGTTTCGGATAGAGATTTCGTGGTGGTGAAGATGGATGTTGAAGGGACTGAATTTCATTTGATTCCTAGGTTGGTAGAGACTGGGGCAATTTGTTTGATTGATGAGATGTTTATCGAATGCCATTACAATCGATGGCAGAGATGTTGCCCCGAGAGGAGTTCCAAGTATCAGAAGACATATACCCAATGTTTGAACCTGTTTTCTTCTCTCAGAGACAGTGGAGTTCTTGTACATCAATGGTGGTGACTGGTAACAGTCAAATTATTCTGTAATTCTTTCTCATAGATATGCATACTTCTTGTTACACTAAAGAATTTGAAATTTTTTCTTACTTGTAACACAAAATTTTCGACTTATACACTTGCAAATGGAAATTTACAGAAAAATTTTCTCTATATTGTGTCTTTTCATCTGCTTCTATTGTATGTCTTGTTTAAATCGTATTTCTTTCATTTTCTATGAATGCTTCTACAGCCTTAGCTAATCTAGAAAGAAATAATATGCCACGGAAGAATACAGATTTAAGTAGTTTTTAGTTTCAAAAGTTGGCATCTATAATGTAGGAAGATGATTGAGTTGTGGAGTATTGAGTGCTTGATTGGCCTAACACATATCGATATGAACGGCGATGCTAATTTTTATAAAAATTTCAGGCTTGACATGACTCTTGCTGGGTATTTGGAACTAATTTTAGGAAAGATGGTGAGATTATTTAGCTGTCTCATCCTTTCTTTCAGCATTCATGGAATCTAACCTTACCTTATGTAAGCCTATTTGCCTTCAGAGGATTTGATTTGAAAGAATGAACATTATTTATGGGTTTATGTAGTTGGATTATTGAATTGAGTATAATGATTTCAGCATCATTTATAAATGGTTGTTGTGATAACTGTTTGATATGTAATGGATAGGCCATAAAAAAGATGGTTGTCGATTCATTTGTCTTGGTAGCGAGAGTTGCTAAGCCACTGGTTACAAGGAACAGAAGAGGGTGCAAGAAAAGATGTCGAAGCAGACCCTAATGGAGAAACATGAATCGTTAGATTCAAGAGAAATCAAAGTGAATAACTAACATCAGCTTTTTATTTTACTGTGGCTGCTGAGAAGACACTTATGCAAAAGTTTCGGACTAAATTTTGTTCTTAATGTGTAGTTATTTCCATAAATTTTTTCTAAAACTTCATTGAATTCAAGTTTTGACCTGTTGGAGGGTGCCTGTGAAGGGTGATCAATGATCACTTGTCATTTGATGAGCTAAAAAATGGTAGTCCTGTAACCACCCAACCTATCCCTGTTTCTGTGGGGGCAGTATATTTTGTTTGTTTGCTTTTTTAATGGTGTATTCCATATTAGAGTCTTCTGCTTTCTTGTTTCGTGGAGCTTCATCTTTGTTTTGTTATTTGGTGGGAAATAAGGATTCTTATCGCATGAAATGGTTAATTTCATGTGTTTATTACTGTAGTGTTATCATAATCTTTTCTTGTTCCTCAGTTAATATGATGACATTTGAATGTCACTTAAAACTCTGTTTTGGGGGGTTGTGTTTGGTAAAATCTCATGTTGGTATGGAAAATAATTTTTTTTTTTAAAATTTAATTTGAAAAGTAGTTCTGACTTCGGTCATCCTTTTTTCAGTAGGAAGATATGCATGAACCCTGTCACAGTGAAATATTTTGCTTTAATTATTAAGTCATCACGATCATATATCCTTTTCTTGTTCTGGTTGTATGTCAATCTGCTTCTTGAATTGTCAATCTGTTTGGGATCTTATAATGGCATTTGAATGCTATCGCGTTGTGCTTTTGAAGGGTTATTAGGACTTAGGAGATTACCCTCCTGTAAAAAAAAAAACAGTAATCTCTAATCTTGGAAGAAAGGCGCATGTTTAGTTGTGTTTTCATTTTCAGTTTTCTATTTTTTTATTTTCGAAAACACACTCTCATTTAATTTTCCTTACCTTATCCTGCTTCCCGTTCACCCATTTTTCTTTCTTTCCCCTACTTAAAGAGTTGTCTTCTGTTTTTTCTTTCTTCTTCATTTTTTTATACTCCAATTTTCTTTTCTTTTCTTTTTTTTTCCCCCCTTCTTTTTTGTGTGTGTGTTTGTGCTCTTCTTTTTTCTTATGTTGTTAAAACATCTAAAACCTACATATAAAATGACATATTTGTAGGTTTTATTGCTAACTCCCAACGGTGCAGAGCTTTAGCACAAACTTTTAGTAGACAGAAATGCCCCACAAAAACAAAAATGTTTTATAGAAATTAGGTTTGTTCGTTTTGAAAATCTTTTTAACTACTGCTTCATAAAAAATTTGAGGTCTAAGAGAGGTACTTCTGCCTAAAAAAATTAGCAACTTTGCAAATGTAAAATCCCAAAATATTTTGACAAAATTATAGAGCATCTCCCATCGTGCACTACTTGTTCCATTTAATTGGATTTTAAATATGAGTAAAAAAATTGATTTATTATAAACTATTCCAACCCTTTCAATAAAATCATTTTAAAATTACCCCTCTTATCTCAATTTTTTTCCCATCAAATTTGATAAAAAAATAATCTTCAATACTTTATCTTTTTAAATTTTCATTAAATTTAAATTTAATGAATTCTCAATTTGATGAAAAAAGTATTTCTTCCTTGATTTGATAAATATTTGATGAAAGAATTAGAAATAATTTTTTTAACACCATTTTTTGTTAATCAAATTTAAATTTGATAATTAGAGATGCTCTTAAATAAACTCTACAATTTATTTTGAAAGGGTAATACTCTTTCTTTGATTTAAAAAAATGTAAATAAATATAAAGGAATATTTTTTAGTAAGTTCCTACATTTTAAATATTTTTTAAGATTTAATTTTAAGAAAAATGGGTGAAAAGTCTAGTTTTATGGGTGTATTAAATCCAACAATTAATTTGTTTAGTTATAAGAATATGATTAATAAAATATATCATTAAAAAGTATAAATTATTATTTTAAATGACCTTTTTTTTTTTTTACCCTTCTATTTTTTTTGGTTACAAGGGGGTCAAAGCCCCAAAGAACTATAGAGAGAAAAGGCGAGGGGAGTTAATCTCCTGAGCATTCTTGGCTAACAGAGGCTGGATGAAAGACGGATGGTCCGCAACAACAGTGGCACAACCAATGAAGTGTTGGAAGCCTAGTACCCATTCACCAGCATCAATTCAAATAATACCCCCAACATCAGCCTTTAGGGATGTAATCGGTTCGGTTCGGTTTGGTTCGGTACGGTCAGTATTTAGGTAAAAAATTATACCGAGTAGATAATGTCAGTTTTATTATTTTGAACACCGATACAGACCGCTTCTCCCATCAAACCGCATTGAACCGAATCGATTAATGGTTCGGTTCGGTGTGGTTTAATCGGTTTAGGATTTTTCAAACTTGAACCACTTTTAAATATAATCATTAATCTATATAAAAATATTAAACTAATTATTTGTCTACCATTTCAAACATATCCAATCCATCAATTTAATACATGCTTTTCAATTCCTAAATTAACAAAAATAAAAAATAAAAAAAGTTTGAAAATAGTAAAGTTTCAAGAATAATGAGTTAGAGTTAAGATTATATATAATAAGAATTTACAAACTTAGGTTATAAAGATAATAATGTTAATTAATTAAGGTTAATAATTTATTAATATCATTATATTATTAGATTATATATATATATATATATATTATAAATACAATATTGAAGCAGTCGGTTTCGGTTTAAATCGGTGTACAAGGTGCTTAAACTGATACCGAACCGAAAATCGAAAAAATCAAATTTAAAAATTGCACAGATCGATTCTTATTAAAAACAGATCAAATATAACCAACTTGATTCAGTTCAATCGATTTGATCGATTTTTTCAGTTTTTCTTATATCCCTATCAGCCTTGTTTCCATGACCTTGAGCTGAACAATATGTGTTAAGTTTGACCCAATGAAGAGGAGGATGACACTAGTGAGTAACCTTGGTATTAGGAGCATTCAGGCCACAATTCTTCCTAAAGGCATTTGCTTGGAGAACTTTCAAAACCCATGCCTTCATTTCTTGTATTTTTTTTGTGTCTACTTTCTCTCTATTCTTACACACTATTATCAATCAATATTCATTGACAGCATTTTTCACCGTTCTTGGTGACTCGTTGAAAATGACAAAAGGGTATCAATGGGCAGCGACAACTTAGGGTTATGCAAAATATCATTCAATCCGCTAAAACAGTATCAATTCACACCATTTAATCCACTAATCGCGAATTAAACTTTAAATTTTATAATCCGCCTTCGAAATCACTCCACTCCGCTATAGTTAACACGTATATATTTTTTAACTTATAATAAAATATCAAAGTAAAAATGAGTATGAGAGATATTTAAGATATGAATTTTTTTACAAATTAATAGTTATATATATGAAAAATGCTATGTAAAATTAGTTTGTATTATATATGTGAAAAATATTATGTAAATTAACATTATATGTTATGCAAATACTTGATAATTGATTGGAATATTATTCAATCTGCCAATCCGTCCAAAACCACCCAAATCGCGACTTGTCATTCTGCCATTTGATTTATAATTTTACTCTCAAATCACCCAAACCATACTTCGCGCAACCTTAACCACAACAGATAAGTACATAAGAGTAATATGATTTTTCAAATTATTATTATCCTTTCAAGCAAAAAAAAAAAAAAACTTAAGATAATTTCTCAAAATATTTAAATTTCAAAATTTTGTCTCGCATTAATTTTATGCATGTGTATGATACAAAATTTCCATAGATTATGGATTCAAATTTTTATTTTTGAAAATGAAATAATCCCCCGTATATTTACGCATTTTGTTAATAATAACTGGTTTTGTTGAAGAACCTTCACTAGAAATCTGATTGGAGAATAATTTTAATATTCTTGCCATCATAACTGTAGCTGTCAACAGGTGGTTCTGCCTAAGCTCTAACAGTCAACAATGGCCTTCTGCCTAAAGACCTAACTGTTTACAGACTTCTGAGACTTGAGTGCTACACCAGTTGTAAGATAAGAGATAAAACCATTCTTAATTCTATTTCTTTTTTCTTTTTCTTTTTTTAATATCAAATTAATCTAAAAACTAACTTGGCTCAATGTTTTGAAAACCGGATCGGTGAGTAAACCGGAAAAGGGACCAGGTGGATGGGTCACCGGTTCAACCGTCGAGTCAAAGCGGTCGAACCGTGGTGTCGACCCTTGCTTCTGGAATACTTAGACATTTTGAGCTTTTACTCTGGTGTCAACCCTTACTATTTTGGTGTCGACTCTTGGACATGTTTCAAGCATAAATAGAATTTTGCAAGCAAGTACTAATCTCATGTTTTGAGGGGTTAAAAAC